TCACGCAAGAGAGTGTCAAGTTTAAGTCTTTGCTCGGAACTAAGAGTGTCGAGAGAGTGAAGAGACATGATTTGGTTGACGGCTTGAGAGTCGGTTCTAAAAGACCATTCACCGGAATAAAGATTGGGAATTATTCCCATTCTGACCCAAAAGTCAACTCCAAGGATAAGAGTGTGCGGCAACGAAGGAATGACCAGGGTATCCATAAGTGCTAATCGGTTCTGAAGGATGAATGGCAGCTGAACTGAACCAATAGATGTGCATTGTTGGCCATTCGCCACCGTACACTGCACTTGAGTCTCGGTATTAAGGGAACAGAGTGGTTTCAAAATCTTCCCACCAGGACCGCCCAAAATGATTCTAGAACAGCCAGAATCGAGAAGGCCCATGAATGAACGACCAAATATGGAAACCTGAAGACAGGGTCTTGTATCACCTTCTGCGTGAGCCAAGACATAGTCCAAAATGGCAATGTTGGTCGAATTTTGCTCCTTCGCTGTGAGGATGGAGGACGGCAAGTTGTTCGCAGCCCTCCCACTTACACGTTTTTTGAGCAACGAGGACAGTTTCGAGTAGTAACATCTTTGTGACCGCACTTGAAACAGAGAAGCTTTCGAGGAAGAGAACACTGTCTAAAGCTGTGATCAGATTGGTCGCAATTCCAACACTTTGCGGAAGCAGAGTGGGGTACAAATGCCAAATCGACAGGATTTTCGGCAGGTTGGCAACTTCCAAGAAGATCAACTTCATTACTGGGTTCCGAAATTGGGACAAGGGAATGAGCAATAGCCGCAATGCTCGACGAAGGTTTATGATAAGCCAGAGCGGGCTCTAGCAAGGATCTGTAATTTGTTGGAGGAGGCACAAATCGTTGGACTCGAGCTTCAGTTTCCTCGATGGCTCGACTGAGTCGACACAAATCTGTCATAGTGACGACTTGCTCGGTCGCCAACCGTCGCTGGATGTGCGGAAGAAGGTTACGCCGCATTACTTGAAGCTTTGTCTCTTCCGAAGGAGGAGTAGCCAGCTTACGGAAAAGCGCTTCCATAGCCACGACGAAACTAATGACACGCTCTTGAGCACCCTGGGTACGTCGGTGAATTTCGTCCCAAAGTCCATATTCGTAATCAAAGGGCTGGAACGCATCCCTTAATTGACGAATAAGATCCTCCCAAGTAGTAAAACGACCAGTGCGGTACCACAGAAGCGCGTCTCCTGTGAAAAGTTCTGGAACGGATCGGAGAAGATGCTCTGACGTCACACCTCGGGAAACACGAAGTTCCTCGATGCGCTCGAGAAAATCGGTCACACTTATGCGCCCGTCATATTTTATGCCCCAAGAGGACACATTCTGCGACTTATGGTAGTAGGGAGTTACCGACGACTGACTGAAGTTTCTACCACGAGAAGGGGAAAATTGAAAGTTTTCCAACCTTTCGGCAAAATGGACCTCGGGATTCGAATGACTTAAAGTTTCAGTCAGACGGGTGGAATTGAGATGTACCTGCCGGGAGAAACCGGGGTACTCATCCTCAGAATGAACCTGCGATTGCCTTTCTGACGTAGGTAACGGTTCTGATGGAAGTTGGGAATTAGTGGTAACAGCTCTGGAAATAACTGAAGGAGGCGGCTGCCTAACAAACGAGGAGCGCAACTGTGGTGGAGGCTGATCACTAAGAAACTGTCGATAGTAGAGCGGTACGTCAGGTTGATCGTCCGCAGCAGATGCTCTATACTGAGCCAAATAATTGCGGTTGGTGCGCACCCTAGATTCGATAGGAGCATAATGCCCAATATTTCCAACTTCTCGAGACCGTGGCTCGCTTGCACCAGTGGCTGGGAAACAAGAACTGTGAGTGAGTCGGGTAGGTGGTCTCGAAATATTTCCAGCTGTGGAGGTTTGATCGAAATTTGTGTAACGAGGCGCCTGGATAATTCGGCGGGGTGGAAATTCAACCAACGGGTCTAACAAGACTTGGGAAGGAAGCTCGACTGAGAGCGCAATGTTCAGTCTTGAAGATGTAGTTTGTCGGAGAGGTTCCGAAGCGTTGGGATTTTCGTCATCGAAGGAAATCAAATCATGCGACGTGGCAACCTCTTCAGACACACGGTTTATTCGGGGATTGTTGGTGTCAAGAAGGCTTTAGTGTTCCTGGTGAACATCAGCTCGTGACTGCGATTCAATGGCTGTGCCACTTCGGGCCAACTCAAGCCGATTGAATAGCTCAGCGCACCCTTCAGCAAGTTCTCGCCTTGTCTCTCGCTCCTCGTGTGAAATACAATGAAGCCTGTCGAGACGAGCGTCGGTGTGGCTCAACAGGGTGAAAATTCTCCGAAATTCGCTGTCTGCGTTCTCATGGTCAAAGTTTGTGATTTATCGCGCCAAAGCTGCAAGTTTGCCTTGACAAATGCAAAGTTCGCTGTCGCTGTCGAAGCAAGAACTTGTTGGAGCCGAAGACTGACCCTCGCGCTCACGGCGCAGAGCGTCACGTAATGCAGTTCGTTTTTGTGGAAAAGTGCCAGTAATAGGCAACCCGCGAATAGCCAATTCATATTTGACTTCCTCAGCACCCAACAGATTTATTTCCATCTTGACGCGAAAAAGAAAAAAAAATAAAAAATAACGAAACGCCAAGAGGAAATTCGTAAATCCAATCAAAAGTATAGGTAGGTACTTTTAACAAAATACACAAAAAAAAAAACAAAAGAAACCCGACCTGTAGCAAAGCAAAAAAAAATAATAAAAAAAAAGAATCGACCGAGGGGTTGTGAAAAGAAAAAGAAAAAAAAATATATTTACATATAGTAAGGAAGAAAGAGAAAGAAAAAGAATTTACCCGAATCCTGCTAGAATGGCGAAGGTGAAAATTAAATCAATACAGATGTCGCAAAATTCCAAAAAAAAATTAAATAATAAACAAAAAAAAAAAATACCACTTATTGGGCGCCAATTTATTACGTGGCAAAACGTAACGGAGAAGTTAATGATAAGATTTGAGGAAGGGAGGAAAGTTAATGGGTAACTAAAAAGAGAAAGAATAGAAAGAAAGGGTTGGTTGGTGGCTGAAATCTAGAAACGTGATTTCGTGTATAGGGTTGCCAGTGGTGTGGGTTAATTAATTAACTAAATATAGAGCGCCACCTACTTTTTCCTTGCAGTACACGAAATCAACCGATATAACGAAAGCAGGAAACTTCTACGGAACTATAGCAGCACAACCTGAAATATAAGCAAGAAGAAGGAAAAAAAAAGTGAAACGATTTGCTACAATCAGGTACGGGTCTTTAATTAAAACTCGAACAGAATGGGTTTGACTCAAGAGCAGGTTCGGAGAAGAAAAGAAATCGCCTAAAAACTAGAAGTACCTAACCTATATACTCTAAAAATAGTAAATACAATAAATTAACTCGAATCCCTTAAAGTAAAGAGTACCGTACAACAGCAAAAATACCTGAAATATAAATGATCAATATACAAGCTCACTAAATGCAGTACCTTCGTAAATGGCCATTTAACCCCAGTGTACAAGTATTTACCTGTATTCAGTGCAGCATTAATCAAAGTGGAAGTAACAATACGTAACTTGAAGGGCTTTAATATTATGTAACAATATAGGTAGTATAGATACCTAGATACCTAATAAAATTGAAGTACCTAACCATACATAACCTGGATGGCAAGTTTCATAAAAAAAAAGGTGATATAAATATAATTAATTCAAAATTGAAATAGCAACACATAATCTGAAGGATAATTTTCAAGGTGGTAAATCTGCGTTGTTGTGGTGTTTTACTCCAACAAGGGGTTGGCAAGGTTTGATACTAGGACAATACAACACACTTATCAAACCTGAGTAGTCCCTAATCTCTTGGACTCTCTGACAGGTGAGATCAATATCTTCCAGTGTTTCCAATGGCCTGGGACTGGATCAAGGCCGCAACAAGAAGCAACTGGCCCTGGGCACTAAGGCTTCCAATTGTCTAAAGGAGGCTGAAGATTGTAGGTCCTACTCGAAGTATACAGTAAGCTTAACGTATAACGTATAACTCTTTACTGAAAGTTAGGGACTGAAGCGTGACGAATACAAGGGGACATCTAAGGGTAAAGATTAAAGCGTAACTTCTAAAGGTGAAGATTAAAGGCCTGAAACAAATGGACGTTATGAGACAGGGCGTGGAGCAATAGGTAGGTATGTCCGATATTCGGAATTTGACCGTATAATTAACAGAAAACTATGCTTTTACATAGGAAATAGAGAAACAGAGAAGATTAATAAGAAAAACGACTCACCAAAATACTTTGACCTTTAGGAACAAACAATTGGTCACGTTGCTTTTTCTCGACTCACAAATAAAATCCGCACAAGGCGATTGGGTGCTAAAATAACGATTAGCCACCCTAGATCTATGAGCGAAAACTAGACAACTCAGAAAATCGGCAAAATGTGCCTGAGGAATTTTCCCGAACACTTAATCGTGGAAAGTCCTCGACCTAAATGACCTCTGAATGTCCCTGCAATGTCCTTTAAAAAGTGTCTATCAAAACTCCAAGGTGGAAGGTACTGGGGATTTTGATGGTAGTTGGGGCATGGTACTTATTCAAATTAAGTTAGTACCGGTCATGGACCCTATTTGGAGCGCTGTCAATCTAGACAATCTACTCCGATCAGACATCAGCTGTTCTAGTGTAAATATTGTGATTTTGTTTTATTAATAAATTAATTGTCTATTTATTTTAACCCTACTAACAGAAAATCAATTCCATTAATAAACCTCTAACTTAATGATTCTGGGAAAAATTAAAAGTTTGATAAAAAGTTTGGCCACAACTATTGAAAATACAACAGTGGCTTGACGAAGGTATGCTATTCATTGAGGCGAATATGCTTATTTCCTTTCATTTTAACCCAGGAAAAATCATCCCGTAACAGCGTTCCACTGCATTATTTTGATTTCAGTTGAATTAGCCATTCGGATTACGAGTTATAAGTGGAAGTTACAATAAGTTCAACCATTTCTTTTTTAAGGCTATCTAATTTAATATTTTTAATATCTTCTATTGTTTTAATTTTTCCAAGTAAACTTATTACATAACCTGATATACTATTTATAAGATTATTTTTTTCCTTTTCTAAAATATCTTGATTACTAAGTGTATTCGCTGCTAAGGGGGTAGAGGGACCAAAAGTAAAGGGAAACATAGGTTCTGGAGAATTTAAAATAATAATTTTTCGTTTTTTGTTTATATTTGTACAGGAAGATGTAGATGGTTGTGAATGTGACAGGATATTTGCTGGTAGTGAACGCCTCTGTGAGGGATTAGGTTGACTTAAACTGCTTTTTGTAAATTTATTGCTTAAAGGGGGAAAATTAGTGTGATAGTCACTTAGATTTTCCAAATTATTAAATCTGTTACTAGTAGTAACAGTTGCAAAAGAGTTTTCACAAAGCTTCTCAGCTTCGGTAAAAGTAATGTTGTTATCCACCATGATTGTTCTGATCTTTTGTTGTTTTTTAAAATAGGGGCATTTTGGAGAGACAGATTTGTGAGAGTTTCGTACTTGGCAGTGTATGCAGAAAACATCTGCTGTATCACAGTTATGAACTGTATTTTCGATTACCATTTGACCACAGGATATACACAATGAGTCTTTAGCTCGACATTGTTTTGATATATGACCAAATTTAAGACACTTGAAGCACTGAGCAGCCCTACCATAAAATCTTTCAACTGGAAATGACACGCTATTTTTTACATCATTTGGTAGTAAATTACCTTCAAAGGTTAAAAGAACCATTTGTTTTTTGACTTTTATTGACTGCCCATCTTTATCGGTTACATTTTTTTCCATACGTTTGACACTAATTAAGCGAGAAGATGATTTAATATTAGTTGAAATATATTCTTCACTAAAAAATGTATCGACACCCCTTTTAATACCTTTGGATTCGAGTATATGATTGGGAATAAAGGCTCGCAATTTTTCTGCTTTTAAGGCACTATTATTTAATAAGTCATTAGCATCCTTTAATGAGTGAAGCTGTACTCTAACCCTGTTTTTACCCATACTTTTGATTTCAATAAAATTTTTTAAGAATAATTTTTTATGTAAAATATGTCCTACTTTTAAAGGATGTATTCTACCAAAGTTTTCTGACTCAGTGCTTTCTATCATAACGTAAATAAATTTAATATTGTACTTATCCGAAAATATATTAAACATTTTTTTGGGTTGATCGTTATCTGGTTGTTTTGTTGGTGAAACATTATTTCCGTAATTTTCGGATATTTCCATTGTATTGTCACTACCACCAGACTCATTTAGGGCATTATTTAACGTCCCTTCCACGCCCTCCCCATCCGGGGGAGGCATTTTTAATATTTATTATTTAGCACTATTATTTGATTAAATCGCAAATTTTTAACACCGACTCTCCGGTAAATTATGATAAAAAAGAACGAATTCCGATAAGCCGATAAATACACTTGTATACCAAACAAGATCTCGAATCGAACTGTGTTTAGTACCTAAATACTACTGAAAAGTGAGTTGACAAGTCAGACACCGAGGGTTGGTTTTTAAAAAATGACCACTGGTACAAGGGTGACAGTTTTGTCCATCCAGGAATGCCTGATGCAGGTTTTCCACTACCCATTGGCCCAAAGATATTTTGGTTTATGGTTGAAGAAGGGTTCGTTATTTTCATAGTCGGTGCTTTTGACTAGTGGCTGTCGATAATACGGTAACTGTACTGCATAATATAATTCCCTTTGTAATAATTATGAATTCTAGGAACTATAGTGCTTGTACACTTTTTTCGCGGAGACGGTCCCAAACGTATCCTGAACGCAAAGACATGATTTACGCAGCTAATATTTGAAAGTTTCATGGCTCTATTGATTAGTAAACTTGCGTAGATCATGCCTAAGCGTTCAGGATACGTTTGGGATCGTTTCCGCGAAAAAAGCTAATAATTCATATAAATTTTTGAACAGTCGGTCGATTTGACCGAACGCGTGTAACGACGTAAGTTTTTTAGCGCGTGAATGCCGAGTTAACAATCCAAAAATATATACTAGTGGAAGCACGTTACAATAAATGTTACATTAAAATTAATTTCAACTAACTACCTATCCTAAGAAAATGCATAGTTCCTACATATATTTATAATAAGCTGAAAAACAGAAAAAGCATTTTAAATGAGGACTCAGCAAATAGACGCGATATAACTCCTCCCTTCTTAGCTTTAACTGCCACACTAGCGGAGGAGTTGAACACAGTGACGTAACCAGAAGGGGGGCAGGAGGGACGATGGCCCCCTACCGCTCTTAAGAGGAGATGTATGGCGCCCCTACCGCTCTTAAGAGGAGATAAAAAACAAAAGCAAATATTAAGTAGTCATAAAATTATGCTGTTTCTTGTTTATTTTATTGATCTCTTCAACCTTTATCGTATTCATTGTCGGCAAATGTTCAGTTCAATCAAAAGAAGTAATAATTTCTGTTTTGATGTAGATAAAATAAAAATACCGTAGGTAGGTAGGATTTTTTGAAGTTAACGGCATGTCATCACATTATTTCTTTTAAGGCTTAAAATAAATGTCTTTTGGTGTGGCATTTGGCATTCGAGAAAAAAAATGGTTTTTGAAGGCTTAAAATAAGCTTTTTTGGGTATGGCACCCGAGAAAAATTTATCACCTCCGCCGGGATTCTCTTCTCTGATTTTTTCCCCCAATGAGCAAATATTACAAGAATTTCGCAAAATTATCCTAATCATTTGTTACTTCTTTGACAGGAACGACCAATATCCATTGATTGGAATCGTCCAATCGATTGATGATAATTTGCGAGACTTTAATTTCGGTTTGTTCGCAGGTGGAGGTATTTCAGAGTGGAATAGTTTAATTTCCCATGGGCTGTTTTCATGGGATTTCGTGAATGTCTTCTTTTCCACAAATATGTGATTTCGGAATGATTTCTTTACATTCTTTGCCATAGTATGTGAAGTGCAATATATTTTTCAGCAAGAATTTATTTCGCGGTGAGAAAACCTTAAACTGACTCTGAGAAAGGATTGGGACCGAGTATAAAGTCAATTCTTCATATACGTCAATTCGTCGTAGCGCTAATTCGTCGTATTGCTAATTCGTTGTACCTATAGGTAATTTGTCGTAAACGTCGATTCGTCGAATTTCAGGTATAATGTTAAAATGTATAAATTTACACTTTTTTTATTTAATCAGACATTACCAAACTTACCGATGATAACCCGGTTAGTAAGGGGGAATTTGCGATTTTAATCAGACATCACATTGCAAACTAACCCTAACTAACCGGGTGATGAAACTATTAACTCGTTGACTACCCCATAAGACACCAGTGATGCATAAGATTCAGTTGCTTTCATGCCGACAGGAATTCTTGACCCAATTACCCCAAATACGAACTAGTCGACGTGACTTTAGGACAAATTGACGCATACGACGAATTGACTTTACGACGATTTAACGTGTACGACGAATTGACTTTACGCCAAATTGACGTATACGACGAATTGACTTTACGACGAATTGACGTACGACAGATTGATTTACGACGAATTGACGGAGACCCAAGTATTAGGTATGTTATTCTATTATTAAAGACAGAAGATTCCATTTCAATGATTTTTTTAAAAAGTGAAGTATTTTCCAAAGTTACCGCTAGTGGCATTTGTTTAGAACTCAAACGCTGTTGAAGTTTGTTTTTTTATGATAAAAGTCTTCAGTTTTTATTATACTTGGATACATGATTTCCAATTTTGAAAGAAATTAAAAAAAATTTTGTATCTTGTAAAATAGAGTCGATTATCTCATAAATATTGGCTATTTGATTTATTATGTGTTTGCTAGGGATTTTTCTCTATATGCTGCCTTCTGTACTATATGTGCAATTTGGTTAATTTTTGATTCTAGAAGTTTTTCGTTGTGATTTATTTGTTTTATAGTTTGGTTAATTTTTTTCATTACTTTTAAAAAAAGCGAGTTTTCTTCAGAACTTTTCAATAGTAATATAACAAGTGCAATAGAAATTATCGATAATTTTTGGGTAATTTGCCCGAATGCATTTTTAGTTGAGAACGCATGAGTGCAAATTTGTCAAAAATTAAAAATATATTTCCATTGCACAAGTTGTATTTTATGAGAGAATTTCATGAATCAAAAATTTAATTTTTTTGTCAAAAAATGTCAAAACACTAGTTCTCGCACCAGTTACTATGCAATTATCCGATAATTTGCACTAGTGCAAATTATCGCGTAGCTCCAATCTGATTGGTGCAAATCAACAATCAAAACATGTCAGTTTATTGTTGGAATGTCAGTGTTGACAGATGTATGAAATTCTCAAAGTAATTCCTTTTTTTGAAATAAAAAATTGATCAATTAATAACGGAGATGCGATTTTGAATTGCTCCATCCGTGATCTTGAAGTGGCTGTTTTTCGGAAAAAAATAATTTACAAAAATGCCAACATACCATTTGGTAATCTAGTAGTCCCATATTTTCATAAAATAATGCATTTTTAAACTTAGCACGAGATCGAAGTGAGCGAACCCTATGATAATGGACTATTATGCAATTAAGTTATTACACAAAGTGAAATGAGTATCGTATCCTCTATAATTCTGTGTTTTTATTTAACCCAGTATAGCAGCTATTCATTCAACGATTCTATTAAGTTTGGCTTTTGAATTAGAAAAACTGCATGCAATTCCGATTCTTGGTATACCTGAATCAATTTCATTGTAGCGTAAAGACCCATAAATTTTTACGAACCTTTTTGTGCGGTAACATTTTACGGAAACGCATGCCTTTGACAAGCTCTATCTGCTTTTTGATAAAAGCTTCTAATATCTTCTGATGAAACTCGAGTTCAGATTTTTAACAAACAAAACCCCCTTGAAAAACTAGTCATAATTTCTTCTTCTTAATTTGTATGATTTATGCACCAATAAGTATCTAACTGCCATCATTTTTTATAATTTCTCGCCTAAACTATGCTAAAGGTGCTGCCTTATCTACTTTATTAACATTTAGAAATTTACCTCGTTTTTACCCCTGGTTGTGCGGCTTATCTTCCCTTCAGATCCGGACGCTCAGTTGTATGCAAACATTTTTCCAGAAGCCTTATTTTCGAGATAATGATTGATAGTAGGTATGTGTTTTACTATGGCTGTACATCAATCTGGAAAGCCCTTTGTTCTACGCTAATCATATAAGAAAAAATTAGGCGCAATAGCTCTAACAATATCTATATTCGCTGCAGGCTGTTCAACGCAATCCAAGATAATTTATTGCACGAACGGAGCAAGAAATAAATTAACATTTTATTTTTTTAGATTTTAATTATTATTTCCTTTGTGTTGCACTAGATAGATAATATATTGCATGCCCATAACCATGTCAGGCGATTATAATAGAGCTGTTTTATTACCTTGTGTGTATTATAGAACACATTCAAACGATGGTAATGTAGTCCCATATAAAATTTTCAAGAAATAACTAAAAAATTCTCTATGCAGGGTGAATCTCTCCACACATTCTCATCATTCATTTTAAAGCTTAATCTATTTCTCTTTCATGGTATCAGATTTATAGCAGAGTTACATTTAATTGATAAAAGTAGGCCTCATAAAATTGTATCGTCGCAATTAAAACATGGAAAATTAGTTAGTTGTTCGAGCACCCTCTCAGATGCTCAAACTGCTATAGAATCTGGGAAAGATAAACACCCGGGACCGGTTTTTTCATTAAATGTTCGAAAAAAAAGTGAAAAGAAGTGTTCACGCCCGACGAAGCTAAATGAAGATTCTATAATTTTGTTATAAGTGGTTAATAGTGGTTAGCCATGTGCAGGTAAAAAAAAAAGAATATTGATGAAGACCAGTGACAATTATTTTTGAATGTGACAATCAATCAATTAATTAATCAAAAAAAGTTACAGAATTTGATCAGTTTGTCTAGTAAAATCTTATTATTAATCTTTATTGTAACTTTCAGCAACCATTATAATCATTGTTTCCATTTTATTGCACTTTTCTCAAAATCATGCCCAGTTTTTAAATAAAATTTACAGTCCTCCTAGTACAGTCAAAAACATTTGGTCCAGTCGACCCGAGATCCAGTTTTACCAGAAAAAACGATAAGTGGAGAGAAAACGTGTGTAGTACTGTTATGCAATAATTGTTGTGGAACAAGAAAGAAATAACTTCAAGAACCGGGTGAGTCGTTCCATGTTAGAACAATATTTCGAAGATTCACCTTCTACTCAAACGTCATAAATTGTCATAATCTTGTCTAGAATTTAAAACGAGTATTTGTCCTCTATTTGTGT